GGTAGCACTATTTATTTATAATAAAATCATCAGGCAGGTATTCTATATCATCCATTTAAAGATATTTTCTAGTTGAATGGGCCTCATTGCAGATGCAGCATATAAACATATCGACTACGTCTGGATTAAAAAATCTTTGTGACCATCAAGAAAAGGATAATGAACTGAGTAGAAAGAGCTAAGCAAGGTTTTTGAATTTGGGCTAAAAATCAAATTTCAATTTTAAAATTTCAGTTTTAAAACCATGACTGTAACTCTCAGTTCCCCCTACCCACCCTTTTGGTTCACTCTGAACCAAAAGGTCCTCTCTTACCACATTCTGTTAGGCATACATTTTCCATGCAGGGGTGGGTGGGTATCTGTGTGTATGTAATCCATCTTTATGATTCTCAAGTACTTTGGAAATGTGTCAGGGAGAAGACCCTGTAAAATACACTTTTTGTTTCATTTATGTTGTATACCATGACGTTAAGAAAAGCTGAACATTCATTTTAAAGCAGGAATACAATACACGTCTAACAAATCTCAGATGGCTAAGCAGATCCAATGTTAGTTTTTAAGATAAATGTTGGAAAAAATGAATGTGTCAATAAGATAAAAATAGGTTTAGTAGCTTAATTACACTGACTCACATTAATGGTATTAACGGATTAAGGGAGCCACTGTGCACATGCTAGAAAGAACACTGAATAGGCCTACATCTTATGCCTGGCCTTCATTAGCTGCCTGACAGGAGGACGCTCCTAACCTCTGTGAACCCAATACACCTTGACTGAAAAAGGGGGTTGTCCTATGTATGTGACACATACAAAGTTCTATACAGCTCTGGAAATTGATGATTCTTTGTATAGAGAAAACCTGTATTTATTTGTAAGTATGTAGAGAAGATTAGGTGTGTTCCTTTTTATTTTGATATAAAACTCCTTAAAACTACTTTCCACCCTACTATGTCATTATTTACAAACGCCTACTTACGTTATTCAGAGTGACTCCATCTCACTGGATTCAAAAGTTAATGAAATCTCATAGACAGCAGCTACATTTATTTAAATAAATTTATTTAAGCACGATTTTTGTTTGAAGTTCACATCACCTCACATATGCATGCAGTGGAACTGACAGCCAATGTGAGCAGTTTAGCATTATGTGTATTATGTGTACTGTAAGAGATTATATGCAATTCTTTGAAAAGATTTAATTGCAGTCTTTAAAAAATGTTCCCATTTGTTCATGTGCGCGGAAGAATATCCTAATGTTCAGGTGACCTTTAACTACCATTTGTACTAACTTTGAAGAGGCATTTTCTTCTCAATAGGAATACCTAGCACATAATGCAGCATTTTCTAAAAATTATAAGACTGGTTCTTACCTTAGGATACCTTCGAAATGTTGTATTCACAAACTGGATTTAAAATACTGCTCAGTGATTCTTGCAGGACACAGTACACACCATGGCAGATCAAGGAGCTCTACCTTCACTGGGGATGACCTGCCATGGTGGCTGTACAGAGGCTCCATCAGCACTTCCTGTGGGCTCCTCTTCACCACTGGATAAAACTAACTTAATCTTCACTACCTTTATCTGTTCTTCAATAAAGAGCCCTTCATTCTGGGACTTGAAAATTTTGCATATGTATAAAACATGGGCCCAAGCCTTTATTTACACCTGAGCCCACAAAATGTAAGAGCTGAGAAGAACCCCTTCATTTACAAACGAAAAAATTGAGGTCTTTGCATCTAACCAGAGAGAAATCCACAAGCATTTATTATACTCATCATGTTCGTTTTTAAATATTTATATTGCTAGGGCAAAGTTGTGACTTTCTGTTCATTATACACAATTTTATATAAAGAATAAAAGGAGTATTGAGGAAGATTTCTTCCTCCAGGACAATGCTTTATGTAATTAGTCTAAACTCTAAACTAAAAGCAAAAATCCTGGCTACAGACGCAAAGGTATTTTACATACTTGGGATTCCCACTGCCAACTACATTCTTACTTCTGTTTATTCAAAGACAAATGGACATGCTTTAATAAACTTGGGAGTGAAAAGAAATACCTTCTGATCAAGACATAGCGAACAAGCTCTTACAATTGAAAATCAAGTATTCAAATATTGAGATTAACTTGGGCTAGGATGTCAGCTTTTCTCACTGAATTAACCTTGCAAATCAGCTAACATCATAGTTAGAAATAGTTTCTGCAGGGAAATCTCATGATACATTATTTATAATAGTATCAATAACACGTAAGAGTAAGTTGTACAGGTAAATGCCTTTGTGTAATCCAGCTGAAGTCTCAGTCTCTCATGAGAATTCTCTTTACATGATGCTCACTGTTCTGAGATCCATTTATTGTGTTCCATCCTAGGGTCTTACCCACTGTCTGTATTCATGTTAGTTTGTATTTATAGTAGTTTCAACTGGTACCTCTATTATATCTTAGTAGTAACTGACGGCAACACTCTCTGGATATAGAAATTTAACAGAAGTACTGTTTTTGAATTGACAGATCTACTGCATTCTTTGCATATGTCCAATAGCATATTTCAAACAATGGGTTCTCTTTGCATTAAATTACTTTGACAAGTAAACAGCTGTTTAAAACTAAAACATTGTTTTCCCATTTGTAACATCACTGGAATCAGCAAGAATCTGGCATGGTATAACTGATATCATTTTTCTTTTGTAATGCTACATATCATGATGGTGCATCCCACATCAATAACATCTTAGAATCTATAAAACATGATCTTTCTTAGCCACTTCGTAGAGAGAAAAAAAAAGAAACAAAACAAAATGAACCAAAAACCTTCTTTGGTAGCAAAATAGTAGTGTATTTAAAAGGATATAACTGAACACTTTAAATTGAGTAGTTCTTTAATCTAGCTTAGTCTTAACTATGCAAGTACTATGTATTCAAATATACATCCATATATCAAGTATAGTTAAGGACTCTTCTGATTTTCCTTCAAGACTTCTAACACTCACTTTTACATATTTTTAAAAATCAACGTTGTTATCATTTTCACATTTGTTGTGCCTCTTTTTTTTTTAATATATAAGATGGCATACATGCTTTTCCTTTTTGATGTCAGCCTCAATTCCTTTTCAGAGGGAAAAATCATTTGGATTTTTTTTTTCTATTTCTTTTACATTGCCAGTTGCCTGAGAGATGGCACAAACATGTTTAATAAACTAACTACATTTTGTAGGTTTCTTTGTAACAAGAAGTTAGATGTTTTCAGTCAAGGGCCTTAGCACAGTCATACTGTGAATTTAACATAAAAGGCAAAAAGGAACACAAAAAAATTTTTAAAGGAAAATAATGAAGAGCAAAGAGAAAACAAACCCACCAGTAGTATTTTATTTCATGGTACAAACAATCTCTTCTGTCATCATGAATTTTAACACACATACAGTTTGAGAAGAGAGAGAAGTACAGAATTCCACCCTTAGCCTCAGTTTCTATTACTCGTAGTCAACCAGGGCCCAAAAATATTAAATGGAAAATTCCAGAAATAAGGAAGTTTTAAATTGTGGGCCGTTTTGAGTAGTGTGATGAAATCTCATGCTGTCCTGCTCCATCCCACCTGGGATGAATCTATACCGTCTACACTTCCTGCCTGTTAATCACTTAATGGCCATCTCGATGATCAGACCAATGGTCACAGCATCTCAGTGCTTGCGTTCAAGTAACCCTTATTTTATTTTATAGTACTTTACTAATAATAACTTTGTTATTAGTGTTGTTAATCTCTTACTGTGTGTAATTCATGAATTAAACTTTATCATATATATTTATGCATAGGAGAAAACATAGTACTGTAGGTTGTGGTACTATCCATGGTTTCAGGCATCCACTTGGGGTCTTGGAATGTATTCCCCTTGAAAAGGGGGGACAACTAGTGTAGGTTTATTTCACTTAATCTCATGATTTCCGGGAAGACTGTTAGCCAATGGAAGAAAGAAAAAAGGATTCTTTTGATAGCCCAAATCATCACTAATGAGCAAAAGTACTTCAAAAACAAAACAAGATTTAAAAGACCTAAAATGTCTTTCTAAAGGGTCTTTGCATTAATGTTCAAATTTCTTCTCCTGAAATACCAACCTGAAGATTGGTTAATCTTTGACATTTTATTTAAACTACTGATTACTAGTTGTTTGAGGTTTAATTTTCCCTTAGTCATTTATGAAACAGAAATAATCACCAGAATGTAGAAAGAACCCTAGTGACTAATTTCTTAGAAAACTTCTTGTTATAAAACATTAATATATATTATTGTTCACATGCTTGGAAAGGAAACCAACCTAGAATCAGTAGATTTGTTCAACTCCTCAACAAAACATTTTCTGAAAACCACCTCCTCAAAAGGCGAGCATCAGTCTCATCAAGTTAACAGCCCATGGAAAGAATTTTATAAGTGAAACATATAGGAAGACATTAAACATCCTGGAAAAAGTGCCACTTTAGTAAGGGGAAAGAAATGAAGTCCCAAAGAAAAACTGTCATTTACTGCCATGACTTTGTTGCACTGAAAGAGTTCAATTATACCACAAAGAATTTTAGAATGTACTAATTTAAGTATAATGTGAAACCTTCCAACTACCTACTGCTTTGCCTAGTTCAGAAATTAGCAAATTTTCTATTTAAATAAGAATCCTGTATCCACCAACTACATGCATGATGTATACGAGTAACACTATCCACATGTCTTTATTTTCTGCTTCTCATTATTTTATCTTTCTCCTTTGTTCTTCCTTTCAAAATTACTTCACATTCTCATTTCAGACATCTGCATCCTTTAGTGTAACACTTAGAAATCTGGATAAGATGATGGCCATCATGGAACGTAATCACACTCTACATTGATGAATGGCTATTTACAAAATGATTTCTATGATTTAAAAGAGAAAACATCATTGAGCTTTTAAATTTCAAATAAAATGCTACAACTCAAATGGCACTGACTAGCTATGAGCTTCTGGAAGTCACCCACCTGGGGCAGCATGCGATTTTCTTCCTCCAGCTGTCTTACTCTTGCCTCCAGCTGCCTAACATAGGACAAGGTTGATTCTAAAATCAAAAAGAAAGAACTCACATTATACACACAGGTCTTGTTTGGTGCACTGTCAGGATATTTCTGGCTTGATTTATTCAAACCAGATAGTGACTACTTAAGTCTATTATTTAAAATAGGAAAAAAAAATCTCCCAGAAAAATAAAAACAGAAGCCACTGAAACGAAAAACAGTTTTGAACAATTTTACAATGTTAAGAAATATTAGATAAGATACAAACTGGCATGTTAACAGGTGGTAGTACACACAATTGACAGATGATTAGTATTAAGATTCTATACAGAACTCTTACAAACCAATAAGAAAAGACAAGTAAAGGTATGGAAAATATTTCTCAGAAGTGGTAACACATTAGACAAATAAACCTAAGAAAAGCAGTCCAACATCATTATTAATTAGTAAAATCACACACACTCAGAACAGGGCAAAACCAGAATTCAAACCTGGATCTAATACCGAAATCCAGTCTCTCCAATGCTCTAAGCCCTTTTAGCTATTTTTAATCACTAAGAATTGAGACATTTCAGAGGAGGATATTTCAGAGGAAGACATTTCAGAGGAAGTTGGATCCTCTTAAGATGGAACAAATATTTTTCTGAAGTCAAATCATTTCTCATAAATCTTTCTTAAATGTTTAGTATTTCCTGTTCTGAAATAAAGTGTATTGAGGTCAATTAAATATATATATATAAGAGAAATTTATAGGTGGTGAGATTGCAGGCTTTTTGCATACCAACCAGCCTCGGAATAATAGGCATCTTGAAGACAATTATACTCTTTTCTTCTGATTTTGTACATTTTGAGTCGTCAGTGAGTTGTTCCACATATACAAGACTATTTTGTAATGTTAACTATAACCAAAATAAACTACAAAACTCCATTAAAAAAACAAAACAAAACAGAAAATAAAACAAAATTTTTCAAACATCCAGTTCTCTTTATTTCCCCCAATAAAAATTTCAAGCCTTAAGAAAAATATTAGTTCTTTTCACAAACCTACAGATATTGACAGAAAAAAACATGAAAGAGCTATTTAGAGTTAGAATGAATTTTGACTGATTTTGGCTGTGACAGAGACCCAAGTTTTTCACACATCTTTAGGTAAAGCAGGAGCAGACCTGAAATTGATTATTGTTTTCATTCCTTCACGAGCTCAGGCATGCGCTGAAAGCTCAGAATCATTATCATGCTTAGTTTCTGTTCCATACTGAAACTCTAAAGTTTACGGCTTTATGTCAGGAAAAGGGGTCACAGGTTAAGAAAAGTGAATTTTTATTTCTGGGAACAATCTGATAGTAGCTCTTCTTCATTAAAGTGAAAATATTCAAGGTCTTCACATAGTAGCAATTCATTCATCACACAAGAACAAACATATTTCAGGTGCAGTGAAAGGTACACAGCAATAGACTTTCTTCAGAGCACACTTGTGTTACATTAGGTAGCTAGTCAAACGTGAGCAAGGCAGGAGAGGGCTCCCCACAAGCCCACCCACCAAGAATGTCAGGCAACCATCACGGGATGGTCAGGTGGTTGTTAACTGTCTCTCTAAAATAATAATTAGCTGCAGCCAATACCAGGGAAAGGCAGTCTCCCAATAGATAGAAAAAACCTGGCACTGGTGATCAGCGTTTTCCCAGTAAGATCTCTGGGGTTGGGCAAGTGGTCTCAAGCATGTGTACTAAGAGGAAAAATAGCAGTTAAACTGGTATATGACCTTCCTCTGGGAATGTGAGACGGCTAAGGGAAGAATGCCTCAAGTGAGCATGCATACATCTTCAGTAAACACACTGTACATGCTCCCCTCCCAAGTGCTAGCAGGCCACTGCACATGTGGACAGTCCACCTCAAGGGAAGAATCAGGGTAGAAGGGATATGAAACCCCAAAGCACACCAATGTAAAAAACCCAAGTCAAAAGGTCAAACAGTGCACTAGATCTCTCAAGTCACCTACCTGACCCTCTTCCAAGTGTACTTTACTTCCTTTCATTGCTGCTCTAAAGCTTTTTTTGTTTTGTTTTTTGAAATGGGGTTTCACTCTTGTTGCCCAGGCTGGAATGCAATGGCGCGATCTTGGCTCACGCAACCTCCGCCTCCCAAGTTCAAGCGATTCTCCTGCCTCAGCCTGCCTAGCAGCTGGGATTACAGGCATGTGCCACCACGCCCAGCTAATTTCATATTTTTAGTAGAGATGGGGTTTCTCCATGTTGGTCAGGCTGGTCTCGAACTCCCAACCTCAGGTGATCCACCCGCCTTGGCCTCCCAAAGTGCTGAGTTTGCAGGCATGAGCCACCATGTCCCGCCATTCTAAAGCTTTTTAATAAACTTTCACTACTGCTCTAAAACTTGCCTCAGCTTCTCCTTCTGCTTTATGCCCCTCAGTCAAATTACTTCTGAGGAGGCAAGAACTGGGACTGCTGAAGACTTACACGGTTTCGCTGCTGGTAATACTTCCACAGTTAATATTGAAGCAGAAGAACCTCCTCAGTGTTCACGTTCTTCAGCCTCAGACACACAAAAAGGGCAAGAGGCAATACAGTAGTGCACCTAAGCGTTTGGAGCCCCTAAGGATCCACAGGATGGATATTGATGCCCTGATCTGAAATTCTTCATGGAAACACAATTATTTTTATGTGGAAATAGTTTATATGAACCCAATTCCACTTTTGTGACCTCTAAAGCAATGAGCTAACATTTGATTTTCCTTTTATTTTTTTAATTTTCTAAAATACATAAGCATCAGTCCTTAATTCACAAATACAACAATTAAGCTCATCTCTGACTAACTTAGAGCAGGCCTGTTTTCCAAAATAGTATGCAGAAAGCCCCCATCACTGACATTAACATGGTGACCCATAGACCTCACACCATTGGAGAGGATTAGCTTTGAGCATTTCTCGTATAAGAAAATAGAAACATAGGTAAAGAAAATTGAAGACATTTGCTAAAGATATCCTCTCATTTTTTTAGCTTAATAAAATGTTAAAACTCTGCTTTCTGGACTCTTCCAAAGAGGGAAAAAAGTATGCAGCATAAATGAATACCAACGTTATTGATTTCATGAGTCTGCTTTACTCTTGCAAATGAATAAGTGATTCGCAGATCATCAAAATGTGAATGTAGATTGCCTGATTTACCCTGTTTTGCAAGCCCTGCTCTTTCCTCTGGAAAAACAACCACTTGATAAGGCCATCCAAATGAAAAGTTGATCAGCAATATTCTATTTAAACCACACAAAAATAAACTTATATTCTTTTTTGTTCACAATTTACACCTTATCTTTATTGCCCCTATGCTGCACTATCTATAAGGTTGTGATACTTAAAACAGCTGAAAAGACTACAGAGATTGATTCAGGTGATATTTTTAAAATGCTATTGAACGGAATTTGTTTTAATTTAGTGACTGTCTTCAGTCTCTTTATCTATTTCTCTTTTCAAAATCTTTGCAGTTTATATATCTGATGTTTTCACCAAGTCTCTACTTACATTATGAAACTATTATGTCAGTTCAGGAAAAAAGGGGTAAATTTCTGAGTTTGGAAAATATTCTCTAACTCCCATTTTTAACGTTCCATTACAATAGATCATGTCCACATCTTTTTTCTAAAGCATTCACTGCAAATATGGGCTGGGACAAGAAGAGACAGAGCATATTTTTAAATAGATGAAATAATGAAAAAAAATAGCTTTACAGTGAAGGCAAAGGCAAAAATATTTTGAGTTCATTCATTCAACAAATATTTATTGTCACTGATTTGTGTCAGGCACTATTCTAGGGTTAGGATGAAGATAAAGCCAGTTATTGCAAATCTTAATAAGTTTCTCAGAACACACATTCCCTATTAGATTACAGATGTTCCAGAAGGTCCTGTTAATTGTTCCAGGCTCTTAGCCCCTGTTGCAATTATTACTTAATAATTAATGGATACTCAAACAAAAATACACTCTTCCTGGGGGTAAAACACAGGAAGAACATCTGATCTACATGTATAAATAAGAGTACTCAGGCTGTTTTGTTTTATTCAGAAAGAAATTGATTACGCCATCCTTTAATGGGAGTGGAGTAGAAAAATATTTTTCCGGAATATACTGTGAAATCAGCATTGGGTCACCAAGTCCCTATAGGAAAAGCCATTAAATAAAAAATCCAATCTCCCAACTGTGACATGAGAAAAAAAGAAGAAATATTTGTTTAGTTCAACCCTTGGGATTTCGAGGTTTGTCACTTACCATAGATCAGCTGAGCCTGACTAGTAGTGCATAACCAATCATTAAATTTTTTAAATGTAAGCTATATTTTAAATAAAATAGAATAAAATAAAGTATGAGAAACTCAACACTTTTTTAAAAAAGGTCACATCCAAATCCACATCTCAGTCATAGCTAATTATTAGGAAAAATTGATAGAATCTTCTCATGGTGTGAGGAAGAGAAGAAAGAAGCCTTTTGGGTACTGGAACACACTGACCACATCCGCTACAACCCCCTTCCCCATGCTGCTTTTTCCCTTTTTTATCCTTTTTCAAGGGTGTCAACTATAAAATAAGCTGATCTCCTGGTACACTCAGGGAACATGATGGATAGCTGTACCTAAGGGAAGTGTCTGACTAAAACTGGCATTCATTTTATCATAAAGTCATTCATAGAAAGCTGCATTTGAATGTACTATAATTTAAATTGACCATTACATTTTATACCACTGGCTGACGGCTTCACAAAACTGAGATTTCAGAATGCCATTTTTGACTTTTAGGACTCTGAGAATGAGGCTCCAAAAGAGAACCAAAAATAGCCAAATTCTCAGGTACAAAGTACATAAATATATAATGCATTAAAAAAGGAGCCGGCTGGGTGGTTCAAGCTTGTAATCCCAGCACTTCAGGAGGCTGAGGCAGGCGGATCACGAAGTCAAGAGATTGAGATCATCCTGGCCAACATGGTGAAACCCTGTCTCTACTAAAAATACAAAAATTAGCCAGGCATGGTGGCGGATGCCT